CGATACTTGGACCTTTGTTCTTCACTATGTACACAAATGAATTTCTATCAAGCCGGGCTTGATAAAAAACTTCGATTTGAAAATCATATCAACCTCATATTAACCTCTTTGATAATGCTCTATTCCACCCAGACATTTGCTATCAACATCGCTCGACATAAAGTAGTCATTTCATTGTATAATGGACCATTTTTCGATCATAGTAATGTAATTGGTATAGATAAAGTACAAAAGTCGTGCCTTGGATTCATTTACGGAATTCAAAAATACGATCATGCCTCAGCCACCGTATTCACCAGATTTGGCAACCTGCGACTTTTTTCTTTTCCCAAGATTGGAGAGACACATGAAAGGACGCCATTTCTAGTATTGGAATGGATAAATTAGAAATTGATTAATGAATAAATATTTCTTAGAAAAATATAAATTCATCTTATTTTTTGAACAGATCTCGTACATCAGATTGTTGTATCTTCTTATTAAGGTTAACTCTCAGAAGGCTCTTTAGGAGCATACACAGTTAAATAAACTATCGATCAAGTATATTAGTTGACCTAAAACACATTATGGTGCATTGTGGGTTTTCCTTCATCAGTGGTCATCTCGTTTTCCCTGCCGTCATTTCTTAGAACTCAAACAATAGATTCTTCAACTACTTTTTTATTTGTGTCTTGATGTATGTTTCCCATTACCTTCAGACCACTCTGACGATATAATTTGGTTATGTAATCGAGACAGATCATAAATCCTCAGGGCTACCATTCATCTAGTTTACGACCTTCCTAAAAGTTAAACAAACTTGAAACGACATCAAAACTCCGCTCGCACTACTCTTTTCCATCAATCTTCCGTATTACAACACCTGACTTATAATAGATTCAGAGTTCCCACGACAGTGTCTCTGTATCTCTCTCACTTTTCTCGACAATTCCGTATCCATGCCCTGTCCAAGGATACATTCCACTACGCGGAACAGATCTCATTTCATAGAATTCGTGAAATAGTACTGTGAAAGTAGATTCAAACTCAGAAGTAGTTTTTCGACCAAGACCTCAACATTTATCGATACATTTCCATTTTTTAACGAAAACTTTATAATTTACCCTCTGCCAATACGTCGCGTATTCTTTTCGATTTCATTGAACTTCAGAATGACGTTTCCATTCGATTTATAGGCGTCCTATTGTTTGAATAGTTATGATTATGATCTTGTTGTATTATTTTCGAGATGTTGTGAATCACTGAAGTGTGGAAATTCGTTTTTCATTTCGATCTGTTCCTTGTATTGTTGAGTTTTATTTGATTTAAATATTCAGTTATATTAGTTTAGTCACTGTCATAATCATAATATCAAGTTAAACCTGTGAATTGCTGTACAAATATATATGCAACGTTTTAATATTTAGTCACAATCATATTTGATTTCATCGGTTCAATTTGATTAGGACAGTGACTAAAATTGTGAAAATGATGCAAACTTAGGCCCTGGAAGGCACGTATGGTTCAAGAATAATGACACCTAGAGTTTAATTTTATTTCTGTCAGTTTCATCGCTTTGTTTTGGTGGCCTAGCCAGGAAAAAAGAAAGCTTCTTTGGCCACTAAATAACCACATGACCTAATTTTTGAACAAACTCAAATACACCTCTTCTGATTCTGCTTAATGTCACAAGTTTCAAAACAGGCAGAATTAACTCCAAGTGTCACATGGATCATGAATTTTCAGATTCTGTAAGAACTTTCGCCGGTGTAAAACGGGGATCAGTCCTTGGGCCCATCGTATTCGGCTTTACACATCACAGTTTTCTAAGTGCTCTCAGAATTCAGTATTTTGTCACAAGCGGTTTATTGCTGTTAGTGAAGTGATGAATTATTTTTCAAAACGGAGATTTTTGAAATGTTATTACAAGGTTACAATGTTATTACAATCATAATTTCTTCTCGCGAATTATTACTTCAAGGTAAATTGTTCAATTTGTTTTTTAATAATCCAAGATTACCAAGATCCAAGATTTCTTGGCATTGGTAATACGAAAAGGGTTCTGGAATTTCTGGAATTCTTGTTCAGAAATTATATGTTACTAGTTTTGAAACTGTCATCCTGTATGATATTGGATCTTCATGATTGGATAATTCACAAGAGGCGACGCCAATTCTTCGAGTCTTCCAAACAATGCAAAGTCAAACTTTGAAATGTGAAGAGAAGATTTTACCGCATTTTCTCTCTCAGGCTTGTTTTTCCATTCTCTTCAAAATGGCAATGTAGATTTTTTACCACAATTCAAGCAAAGTTTAACGATAAACTTGTAGCCCTTCAATCGTTTTTTTTTTTTTGTAATTCATGTAGTTGGTCTTATTTCTTTAAATTTCACTGTCCTATTAGTTTCGGTGTCCAGTAACGTCGATGTAATTGTTCACGTACGAGTGCAATTGCCACGCATCGGGATTTCGATCGCCGTGATCTTGCCGGATATTTTTTAATCAAAACGTCTCAACGTTCGTCTGGTTTTTCTTTGGAAGTACCGATCATTTCGAGTAATGAGTAGTCGCTTGTTCGTTTGGCGGTAGGAATGTTGTTTCCTTCGTCGAGGTGTCGCTCTGATTGATTCGTTGTTTTTTGTCTGGTTATGATCATTGCCCCTTATATTGAATGTTGATACAATGTCTGCTGGTGCTATACTTTTCAAGATACTTTTGCTACAGTAACGCGTATTATTATTATCATCATTCATCAAGGATATCAAATTAATTAAAATAGTCAAAGTGTAGTTACAAAATTCCTTTGAATTTTATTAAAGCACAGTGTTGACTTTGTTATGTCAGAAACATCGATCCTCTGCCAGAAATATCGATGCTTAGCCAGAAATATCGATGCTTTGCCTGAAACATCGATGCCCTGTTGGAAATTTCAATGCTCTGCCTGAAACATCAATGCTTTGCCAGAAATATCGATGCTCTGCCAGAAACATCAATGGTCTGCCTCAAACATCAATGCTATGCCAGAAATATCGATGCTCTGGGAGAAACATCGATGCTTCGCCAGAAACATCGATGCTCTGCCTGAAACATCAATGCCCTGTCAGAAATTTCAATGCTCTGCCTGAAACATCAATGCTCTGCCAGAAATATCGATACTTAGCCAGAAATATCGATGCTTAGCCAGAAATATCGATGCTTTGCATGAAACATCGATGCCCTGTCAGAAATTTCAATGCTCAGCCTCAAACATCGATGCTATGCCAGAATTATCGATGCTCTGGGAGAAACATCGATCCTTCGCCAGAAACATCGATGCTCTGCCTGAAACATCAATGCTCTGCCAGAAATATCGATGCATAGCCAGAAATATCGATGCTTTGCCTGAAACATCGATGCCCTGTCAGAAATTTCAATGCTCTGCCTGAAACATCAATGCTCTGCCAGAAATATCGATGCTTAGCCAGAAATATCGATGCTTAGCCAGAAATATCGATGCTTTGCATGAAACATCGATGCCCTGTGAGAAATTTCAATGCTCAGCCTGAAACATCAATGCTTTGCCAGAAATATCGATGCTCTACCAGAAACATCAATGATCTGTCTGAAACATCGATGCTTTGCCAGAATCATCGATGATCTGCCAGAAATTTCAATGGTATAACTGAAACATCAATGCTCTGCCAAAAATATCGATGCTCTGGGAGAAACATCGATGCTTCGCCAGAAACATCGATGCTGTGCCTGAAACATCAATGATCTGCCAAAAATATCGATGCTTCGCCAGAAACATCGATGCTCTGCCTGAAACATCGATGCCCTGCCAGAAATTCCAATGCTTTGTCTGAAACATAAATGCTTTGCCAGAAATATCGATGCTCTGCTAGAAACATCAATGATCTGCCTGAAATATCGATGTTTTGCCAGAAACATCGATGCCCTGCCAGAAATTTCAATGCTCTGCCTGAAACATCAATGATCTGCCAAAAATATTGATGCTTAGCCAGAAATGTCGATGCTCAGCCAGAAATATCGATGCTTTGCCAGCAATATCGATGCTCTCACAAAAACATCAATAATCTGTTGGAAATATCGATGCTCTGTCAGAAACATCGATGCTCTGCCATAAACATTTAAAGAAACAGCTGTCGGCATTCTGAAAAATTAGCTCCTTATTATAACTAATGAAAGGAAACGTCTTGGAATTGTGAATAAACAAACTTTATTTTCTAAAAAACATCGATTTTTTTCACCAAAAGATGATGCTCATCTACTCTGGAGAATTTCCAAAAATATCGCAAATTGTTTTGCAAATAAGACCTGCCTGAAATAAATGATAAGACAAAACTTCAATGTCAAATAGATCAAGCTGACTTGCAGTTTTTGTCCCAACTTGGAAGAACAAGGAGAAATTTTCGCAAAAAGAAAACTGATCATAGAAGTATTTTTTTGCACTTTCTACTCATAACTATGATGTATAACGTTTGGAAGAGAAAGACATAATACTCAATCTTTGAAAATGCATCAAAATGAAGAGATTAAAAATCAAGGAAAACTGCCAAAAGTTCAGTTAGAATTGAAGTAGCAATATTTTTACTCGTACTTCAATATTAGATACGCATCATGAAGGCTATTATGTAGTGAATGAACTATTTATATGAAAATCTTACAACAGTTCAAAATAGATATTCATCAAACACTGGTCAATACCATCAAAAATACCAAAAGTTGAGTTTCATTATTTTCACAAACCAGGTGCCAACCTAAGTTAACCTGACCTAACCTAACATAACCTAACCTAACATAACCTAACCTAACATAACCTAACCTAACATAACATAACCTAACCTAACCTAACATAACCTAACCTAACATAACCTAACCTAACCTAACCTAACCTAACCTAACCTCTACAATTCAACGAACATTATTGTTTTTTCGTTATCAAATGGGAAGTATTTGTTTGTGGTTACTTTCATCCTCCTATATTTTCATGTATTGTTTTTCTTAATGATTTTCTATTAGATATGTTATCACAGAGTTGCTCCAGAGCGATTTACACAAAATTATAGTTTCACATCAACCACTATCACCGGACCATATAAAAGTTTTCTTATACCAGATACTTAGAGGTAAGTACAGAACATTTTATACCCTATCGAATTTTGTGTTACATTCATTAAAAGTTTGAGTCTCTATCCTATTTATTTTTATAGATGATTTCGCAAAAAACATTTTTGTTGAAAAACTGGGGAAAAATTTAATGAAATTGTGCAGTTGAAAATGATTCTTTAGACCACTTTCAATTTGAAAATGTGAAAATACATTGTTAAAGATATCAGTTCTGATATAAAGCTAGAATAAAAATATATTTTTTTTATTAAAACGTTCTTCAACCTAGAAACCTAGATAATCCTTTTTCTAGGTAACGATATCAGGTTACATGGTATTTGTGTGATGGAACAGAGGTGAATGCTGAACAGTGTTATGAGAAATCCCCTTTTATCCACTTAGTTTATTGGATAAAGAGGAAAAGGTATTTTTTACAGGGCGTAAATAATAAACCAAAATATATTCTTTGAACGACATTTTTGTCTGTATTTCTAGGTTACAAGGCAAATTGAAAAGTTACAGTATAATATGAAGCACTGAGGTTTCAATTACTTATATTCTCTGTTGGTTCAGCTTTGTTGAGACACATTAAGTCAGTTACCAACAATTTGAAGCAAAAAAAGTGGAAAAAAGCATAAGATTTTGACTTTTCTTCAAAATTAGGACATTTCTTCAAATTTCAAATATTAAAATTGGTATTTATTTTTTACAGGATTAAAATATTTACATTCAGCTAGAATATTACATAGGGACATCAAACCTGGAAATCTACTAGTAAACGACAACTGTATTCTAAAGGTAAGATTATGCAAATTAGGTTTTTTCAAATGGTGGAGCAACATCTACTGAAATATACGAAGTATATTCCAGTATTCCATTTTGATTGATGCTAATAACTGAAAAAACATCTTAATGTTGGCACAAAAAAATATATAAAGATGTCCTCCCTTCAAAATATGTATATTTGGTACGACAGATTGGAACCTGCGCGATCTCGAGACTTGAAGTCACTTGATGTTTTCCTGAAGGGTTAACTGAAGATTGTATTTATTCTCAACCTGTTGGTGATGAACACTTGAAAAATGATTTGGATTGAAATAGAGTTTGATAATCCATGATAACAAACATTTTGTGCAATAGAAGGTTTTTTTGGAGGGAAATAAATTTTTTTGAAGCTCGTATTTTATGTTTGGTAATGTTTCTCAATTCAAAAGTAAACTCGTAATATGAGATATAATATCCCTATACTAATTGTATCATCTTTTAATTGCCTTTTATTTTAAAGATACTTTATTTATCGACTGTGTATTAGGATATTCGTATTTGAAATGAATGATTATTTGATTGATTGATATATTACAAAAACGTAATAAAAACTCAATGATTTTTCAATCGGTTTCAGATCTGTGATTTTGGCTTAGCGAGAGTCAAAGAACCCGACACAAGCAAACACATGACGCAAGAAGTAGTGACGCAATATTATCGAGCGCCAGAGATCCTGATGGGGGCCAAACACTATACGACCGCCGTTGACGTATGGTCAGTGGGTTGTATATTCGGAGAATTGCTAGGAAGAAGGATACTTTTCCAGGTACGATAAGTTAAGTTAGGCTTCAGCCAGAACTCTTTCCAGACCTGATCCTATTGAAATTTCCGTTTCGAAATTGATCATCTCAACGATGGCCAGCACATTTTCCAGATTTAAGGTCACTGAAGGATTTTTTTTACGTTTCAGGCCCAAAATCCCATTCAGCAACTAGAACTCATTACGGAACTGTTGGGCACGCCATCTTTGGAAGACATGAAATATGCTTGCGAAGGTGCGAAAACACATATGCTGAGCAGGGCTCCCAAACCTCAATCTTTGTCTGCCTTGTATACTCTATCTTCTCAGGCTACACACGAAGTTGTTCATTTGATGTGTCAGATGTTGGTCTATGATCCGGTGAGTGAACTATTTGTGTTACTAGAACTAGACTTGAGGCGGTATTCTTCTAAATTCCCTTTGCATTCTTTTTTCTAAGACATCAAGGGTGGCTGGGGCTATGGCATAGTAGAACCTTTCATTAGTTCACTGCCAAATAAATAAATCTAGCATACTGAGATCCGGTGAGCGTGGAGGCTACCGTACTGGAATTGGTTGTTTGATTACCAAAATGATCTAGTAAGTGATTAGGAACTTGTTTGGTATCATGCGGGTCTGCTCCATCTTGTTGAAAGTAAATTCGTCGTATCATGGCCACCTAGATGCAACAGGTTTTAAAAATGTCACATGTTATGACCTAGATAACACCAAATATACTGTTGATATCCAATTCATGTCGGAATATCCTGGGACATGAAACGGATGTCCAAAAGATATCCCTCAGTGGACTTGAAATGGATATCCTTCAGTGGTATTCCTATGGAAAAAATGCATGATATCTCATGAAAGTCCAAGTTGGACCACTTCAGGAGTCCACAAGATATAATTTGGACATAATTCGGACGTCCAATGGATACTGATTCGTCCACATCCAGTATAATGAAATAAGTACCATAAATGACCATTTTCTGTTTCAGGATAAACGTATATCGGTGGTAGACGCCCTAGCACACCCCTATTTGGATGAAGGTAGGTTAAGGTACCATTCCTGTATGTGCAAATGTTGCTACACAGCTCCAAGCGGGATGAGGCAATACACTCAAGATTTCGAAAGTACAGCTCCACAACCTTTTGATGACCATTGGGAAAAGAAACTCACCTCTGTGCAGCAAGTTAAAGGTAAGCAGGTTGGTCGACAGTGATTGAGTTTGAAATGTATCGTTATTCTTATGTTTTTTATGGAACCTCTTGAGTAAGCTGTTTGGTATTTGACAGAGGTTTTGCAACAGCTGTCGCCTCAAAGCAGCTAGCTTTTAACCGTTGGTTAAATTTGGTTGGACTCCAGAAAACAATGGGTAGAAGCAGTGAAGGTATAATGCCGTTTCTGGGACAAAATCCCATGCTTTTTCTTATCGGATTTTGTCCCAAAAACGGCATTATACCGGCATTATAAAAATTTAAATTTGGGATAATGAAATTAATGTATGAATACTTTATTTTGAAGTGAAATTGACAGATGAAATTGACAGCGCCATCTGGAAAAAAAATTAAATGTAAAGGAGGGTTTTGTGATACATCATTTTGAAGCTACTGACGAACACTTCACAACCCTAGAATATGAAGTCAATATCTTTATCTACTACAAAATGGCGCCCAGTCGTCATCTTGAAAGTTTCATCTGTCAATATCACTTCAAAATAAAATATTCATGCATTCATTCCGTTATCCCAATTTTCAATTTTTTTAGTTGACCCGTTCAAAAAATAAAAGGGGGAGGCATTAAAGAAATCCACTGTTTTGTACTAAATTATAGAATTAACTGTCTTAAGCAAATTTTTTACCAACAATATTTCACTATCACAAACTAATTTATATTCAACACTTAGCAAGTAACGGTTAATTTATCTCCACTATTTGAATTCCTTGTTTTACCACTCCAGTCACTTTCTGAACTCAACTGCCCTCTTGGGACGAGAAGCCGGCCTTATATATCGGTAACGATCGGTACTCAACTAGAGTTTAATCGGCGGTTGCCGACTGCATTCCTTTTGCGTGGATGTCATGTGTGCTGGCTGACATATCGGTCAGGGGCGGCTTCAGATTCATTACAGTATATCATTTAAAGAAAATATTTTCAAAGAGTATCTGCATTTTTCAAATAATTTTCGTTGGAATAAATTAAATTTCGTCTGTGTTTTTTTTTCTATCATATGACAAGTTTTATTTTTCTGATAAATTGATTGAGATCTTCGCGGCCGAGATGTTCAGTATTACCATCCTCATTCGGGTTTGAAGGCCGTCGTAGTTCGGAACTGTGTCCTGACGTTTCGCCAGCACGAGTGGCTGGCTTCCTCAGAGCTTTATTCATCTTGATGATTCACCGATGACTTTGTCTTTCTGTTACAGAGGAGATGCATAAATTCATAGCGGAGCAGCTGAACACGAGTCGGGTTCCTCTGTGCATAAACCCCCAATCTGCGGCGTTCAAGAGTTTCGCCAGGTAAGACGGCCGCCGACGCCGCAGACCAGCGCAGCGCCATTGCATAGGTGACCGCACATTTCACTTACCTTTCGGTGTACGTTAAACCTCAAGTCGTTATCGTATATTATCACGCTTTTTTCGCTTCGTTACATTATTTACTTTCACCGACACATTTTCACTTCACCGTAGCTAATTGAGGGAGTCTACACGAATATTTTTCAGTTTTCAGAAGTGGGATCAAGTCGCAACTTTGGTTGCAGGTGTGGGATTGGAAAATATAGTCAAGTTCACAAGTGCCATTTTATCAACAATTTATCCTCCAAGACCGAAAGTTACTATTTTTGTTGTTTTCTTCACCTAAAAGGTACATAGTAATTGTGATCATTTTCAACTCCTGTTATTTATGAATTATTGAGATGCATTGTTCAAAAGATTTCGAAATTTTTTGTTGTGAATCCACTACTTAGTAAAAATAATGACTCTGATATTCTTCATTGCATCAGTAAATGATAAAATATCTGTAGATATTTGATCATTTACTTATTTACATTTCACACCATTTATTGATTTTTCATCATATCTCATTTTCATTTTTATGTTGCATCATTTCATTTTTTTTTGCTTCAATGAACCCTTTCAACGACAAAATAACGTACACCAAAAGGTGCTAAGTGTTTTTAATTTTCTGTTTTAGTGTATAATACTCATTATGTCACTCATTAACATACCACCCACCAATATGATTTCCATGCTGGCGTTTGCGACTTGCAAATTTATTTACCATCGTAGTTAGTACCCTATACACGGTTTCTTTCTGTAGTTTTGTTGAGTTAATTCCGAAGCTAGTATAGGTACAAGATCTCACAATATTCAGATGTTCACAAAGTTGTAAAATTCCATGTATTTTTTAATTTTACTATATTGAACATAACTGGTGATTTTTTAAGAGGTATAGGATTGGATTTTCAAAACAACACAAAAAATTTGAAAAAATTGTTGAAATCTTTATTGGAATCGATAAAACGATCAATATAATTTGATGTTGGAAGATGATTTCATGCAAATGTTGTCAGCGGCTCCGCTTTAGATGGCCCATGCCCAAGGTCCAATTTTGGCACACTCTTTCTAACATATCGACCGGTATTTCACGCCTTAACATAACTCCACAAGAAATAATCCAAAGGCGTTAAATCATACGATCTAGGCGACCAATTGACGGACCCCAAACGTGAGATAAACTGTTCACCGAAAGCGGCTCTTAATTGGGCCATTGTTTCGCGTGCCGTGTAGCATGTAGCACCATCTTGTTGAAACCACACGTCGGGCATGTCCAATTCTTCCATTTTGGGCAGCAGTAACGTTCCGACCATTGTCGTCTTTGAAGAAGTACGGCCCGATGATGCCACTGACCCATAATCCACACCAAACCGTGACTTTTTTGGGATACATCGGTAGCTCTTGCAATGCTTGTGGCTGGTCTTCACTCCAGTTGCGGCAATTTTGCTTGTTAAAGTATCCATTCAACCAGAAATGAGCCTCGTTGCTGAACACAATTTTTTGATAAAAATGTAGATCTTCCTCCAACTTTGCCAGCGCTCATTCAACAAATGTTAGACGTTGTGGGAGGTCGTGTGACTTCAATTCTTGCACCAGCTGTATCTTATAAGGTTTTACATCCAAATCCTTTCGCAAAATTTTCCACGTAGTGGAGTAACAGAGGCCCAATTGCTGCGAACGGCGGCGAATCGACATTTCACGGTCATCACGAACACTGGCGGATACAGCCGCAATATTTTCTTCGGTCCGTATGCGTGTTGGTGGTTTAATGTCTAATAATGTAAACTGGGTTCGAAATTTAGTCACAAGCTTCCGAATAGCTCCCTCAGTAGGCCGACAGAACTGCCCATAAATTGGAAGAAATGCACGATGCACTTTCTTCACCTAGCATGAATTTTGATAATAAAATTCAATAATTTGCAAGCGTTGTTCGTTCGTAAGTCAATTCATAGTTAAATTATAGAGCAAACTTAACAAGTTTGACAATGACACAAGACACGATTCACGCGTGATCTGTCAAAAACAGTGTTGCCAAAAAGATACCAGCAAAAAAACTCTGATCAGTTGAATCAGAAAAATATATTGCTTTCAGATTCTGTTTTATTTACAAAATTCATTCCATGTTTTAGAAATTCTGATGAACTTCTTGTATGTCCTGCCCTTCACCACCCACTTTTTCAAGCAGTGGTTCAATTTTTCGAAAACATTAATTTAAAATCCGTTGAATTCAACTTTTTTGTGAATTTGTTGTGTTTCTGTTGATTTCATCAACAATAATCGTAGATTCTATTCATTCAAACTTTACCATACATTTTCTAATCTCTCGCCATGTCTTTTTTAGTTTAGTTTAAGAATATTGTGAGGTCCGGATAGAATGTTTCAATTTGATGAATGCATGGAAGTCAAATCTGTACATCAACATTATTTTCGTTCATTGTTTGTTGACTTTTCAAAAAAATGCCGTCGCCTTGTACAGTGTTGTTTACATGATGTGTAAACTGAGTAAAATGAAATTAACTCGAGTTATTTAGCAAGTTTTCGATTACCTCTTGCTTTTCGAAAAGTTAACAATACCAACATAGAAAAAAAGGTTTCTTTTTTTAAATAAATGGCTCAAGTAAGATGATGGTTGTTGTACAGGAAGGATAACAGCTGTGCCCCTTTCAAGAAGACCCTAGAAATTCTGTTATCACCCGTCATCTTTCTCTGTGCTGCGTGATGCACTTGTTTTTTAGGTTAGTGCTTTTTTTAATTACATACTCTTTATTTCCTTCTGTTCTAACTTCACGTTCTCGAATGGTTAGTTTAGCCTGTCACTATAGTTATTTTTTGAGTATATATAGCCTTCAAATATTTCAAATAACAGGTTGTTTCAAGAGTTTTCTCCATTTCTATAAGTATACTTTTGTAATATCTCATTCAATACTCATCCAATTCAATGGAAATTAGCGCCATTTGAATCGGTGCACTTTTTCGAACGTAACTCGAGTCGATTGATTCCGCCAGCATAAAAATTAATCGCTCGGGATTCGATGAAGTGAAGGAAGGTCGTTTTTGCCTGGACCTGATTGACGCAAGTTGTACCAGTGAGACAGTTATCGAAGTGTCCAGTTCTTCTGCCTTCCCACGCACCGTTTGTGATGGATTAGTCTCCACCAGGGTCCTCAAATCCTCGTCCTAGATTACTGTAGGTCGACCACTTCGGGGTTCATCTTTGAGGCTAAAACCCCCGGAACGAAATTTCTTAAACAAACGTCGAACATTGCGTTCATTAACACTATTATTGCCAAATGCCAGATTGATACAAAATAGATTATAAATCAAAATAAATATAAAATATAAAATACTTATATTTTTCTTTGAAAATTCTTTCTATCAAGGAGATTCTTTGCAAGACATTGTTGTTTGTGGAGGAGTTAATTTTCCTTGAAGTTTTTTGAGCTTCTACCCTTGAAAAATCGAAAAAACAAATTAATATAGATGAACAGAGAATCTGCTATTTGGGCTTTCCAAAGGTTTATATTATGCATACACTTTTCAGGGTAACCAATTCAGTTTGTCTTTTATTACACTACAGCAGATTCTTGTTGTTCTATATTCATTTATTTTTTCAGATTGTGGAAGCTCTGAGACCCAAGAAACATGGAATAATTATAGTTGCATAGAAGAATTGCATTTTCTTTAACCTCATCACTAATCAGTGAACTAACTTGAAAGAGCTCTTGAAAACCCTGAAAGCTATGTATACTCACAATGCACTTTTCAAAACTTTTTCATTGCTCTTGTATATACTTTCCGTTATGCATACAGATTAGACAGTTTCACACATCCTCATCATAAACAGCTTCACTGTAGATATTGCAAAAAAAACATCATCACCTTAGTCTTTTGACTGATATTCCTCGTTCTTTCCGTTTCAGTTCTACAGTCGCCCATCCCTCGATGCTACCCCCTTCCCCCCACCAATGGGAGTCTCCTAGGGCGTTGCAGCGGAGATAACAACAACGCCCTCTCTTGTACATTGCTCCATTTTGTGTCTCTCTAATCACTATGAAATGAACTTTTATTAGCAACTAAGTAAAACCTCTACACCAAATATGAATCAGGGATTCTATGCAATGCAACCGAGGAAGGAAGCAACGTTTCGGACAATTCGCGCTGCAAAACGTTCGTTATAGTGTGTGTTTCGTGTATATTTAGTCGCAAAGAGTGTGATTTTACCTAATTAATTGATTGATTACCAAGTAGATCTGCCTATCTGGATAGAGAGTCGCGTGGTTTTTGACGGGTTTGCCAAAAAAAAAACGCTCTGTTTACTCTGGAACGATTTGTGAAGTATCAGTGCAGCTAATAGAAAAATCTGGGCCCCAGATTGGGCGCCAAAATAAAATTGTTAATTCCTGATGATCTGATATTTCACAACTTGTTTACCGATCACAAAATATCTAAGCCCCGATCCATTCGAAATCAAAACCACCGTCGGATCGAAATTTTCAAAATGTCGACTCTATTTCAGTTTCTGTACAAAGCACGCCTATGTCTCTGTATTGTAAATAACTCTGTGTTTGGAAAAGTTGAAAACAACTACGAGTCGCCCTGCAGACTCCGTGTACAGATATCACTGCCTTGATTAGTTTAGTGAAATTAGTATATTTAGTTGTATAAGACTGGCAGTTTTTCTTTATCGAGGCAATTGAGGCAGTCTTTCAGTGTCATCAATTCAATCGAAACTGATGGATTGAACCGTTAGATCGAAACTGATGAATGTATGATTCTCCCCCCTCCACTTTCGGTCCTGGTATTTCCAGATTTAGACGAACCGAATAGTTAGCTCTATTAACTCCACTCTTAAACGCCTGCCATTCGATTAGATCTTCCTGTTGAAACTTATGATTTTTCTGCAATTCTATAATTACTGAATACTAAAAATGGTGCTGTGATAAATATAGGAAAATAGTTGAACTAAAACTCGGTTTCCTTTCTGATTCTTGATGAGGCGATCGAATCGAATAGCAGAGATTAGTTTTTTACTGATGGACAATTTTTTTAAGACATTGATGCACTGCCGTTATCTTGGAGAGATTTGGTGTGGATAAGATTGTGGTTAGCTTGCCTATTCGGAATAGTCAGTTGAACAATTTTTTGAACACTCAACGCAGGAAAATTATTTAGGTACAGGTGTCTAGAAGGTAGTATCCAGCCGCCGGTGGCCACTTGGACTACGTGACAGCTGCTTGGCTGGTCCAGCCTGTATTGTTGAACTGCCGGCACTTTTCAGGCGATTCCTAATTGACAACAATGATATTTGACATGTGATCACTGTAATTGAAAAACTTGAAATTCTATTGTGTAAGTAAAATGATTGAGTGTTTTGGTCATATAACATGGATATCTAATGTATGTTGAATTGATATTGTTCATCTCACACAATTAGTACTTCAACTAAAGGCAATAAGCACATTAATAGTTGGCATTTGTATATATTTGTAGTAGCAACACAAATCATAGTGAATCAATATTTTTCAGATTACTATTATCAAAGGTAACTTCACATGCAATATAAAATTTTAAAAAGTTCAATTGTGAATACATCTTTTTTGATATCAGTATAGCCAACCAGGAAACTGTCTAAAACATTTATGACCATTTTCATGGAATATGATCAATTCACGTAGTTGGTTATACATGTTTTCGGCGTTTTATGATTGGCAACACTGATATTTGACATATAAAGCTGTGAAGAAGAATGTAATTGTGAATATAATGGAAAAATTTCAAATTTTGCCGCTTTTGATGAAATAAAGCAGTGTTGAGTCATGTAATACCTATGTCTATTGCAGGTGAAGTTGATTTGGATATTGCTATTAATTTTTATCAAGTAAGGGGTCAGTGAATTGATAAATTGAATATTACGTCATATGTCAGTGTTGCCAATTGTGAAATGCCTTAAACAACTAACTAGCAAACAAAAAGCGTGAGTAAAAAATAATACACACCCTAATAAAACAAATGACATGAAATTTTCCAAAATGTCAATAACTCTTTAGGTACATGAATGAGCCTGAGTATATTAAAATTGTTCAAGGATCCACTGATGTGGAAAGTTCGATACTTTTTAGGTGGAATAATGAAAAATGTGTAAAAATGTTAGTTGAAAGAATGAGTTGAAAAATGAGTCTCACACCCACAAAATCTAACTCGACCGATTCTCTCCAAGTACAAAATTTGCCAAAACCTTGGTAGTCGTATTTTCGTTCAAGACTAAGGTAAAGACTGTGAATACTAGCAACATAACCTTACTTTTGGAGCAGCTCTATATAGGTCCATTTTAGCGGAGTTAACGTTACGTGGTGAGCCAGCCACGATATGTAGATGTCTTAGTGTCATTCGGTGTGGATATTATGTGTGCAATTGAGAATATAGAGACTGTTGAAACAATGATTGATTGTTTATATTCGAGTATATTAATGTCTGTAAGTAGTGAATTTTTTTTATCGATATGTAAATAATTTTTAAACGTGTAATGTCATTAATTTAGTGAATTTTATGTAGGGTTTTTCATTAGCGAATATGATTTTCTTGAATTTCTGAACGCAGTCTTCATTTGCATTTTTCATGTAGTGAAATATAGCCAAAATTAGATAATCAAAAAAACCGTTGAAAAAAATTTGAACTGAAGTAGAGTTGGAAAACAATGGAACTGATGAAAAATCATAAAAAAAATTAGACCGTTTTTTCTGAGGCTTTGATACAAATTTTGTTACAGGAAAGAAAAAAATTTTTGAAGAAAATTAAATAAGAAAAATTTGGAAAAACGACAGTTGAAAAAATGTAATAACACTAAAAAACATCTATTCTAGTACCTCTATAGTAATGAAAAAAAACTCTTACTTATTATTTGAAATTATGAACTGTCACTAATTCCTTTTGATTTCTGACAGAGATAATGCAAATGAAGGTTTTACTGTTCAGTTCGGTATCGAATTTGTACATAATTGAGTATGTTTTTCACTCATTTTTTACTAGATTAACTCCTCCTTTTCAACTTTATTTTCATATCAAAATTGCCTCCTAATGCTCGCACATCAGATTTTTTGTCGAATGTGCGAGTATTATCTATGCTTTTATTGTGTTTCCAATTTTTAAGATTTTTGTATTTATATTCCAATGATTTTTCCAGAGATCTCACTGATGAATGTAAATAAAATGAAATGTATTCATAACTTTTTTTCAATTAATGGTCAGTCTATGTTAACTTTAGTATACTCTGATATGAAAAAAATAAACAAACTCTCAATATACAATTTATAGTTTTCTTTTGATTTTGGATTGTGTTTTGTGGAAGATCCACGGCAAACGTATTTAAAACAGCCTAACGCCCTCTAATGACTAGTAGCAAAACTATTTTTCTCACTTGATATTTTACTTGGACGTCTAATCAGAAGATGGCAGGACGAATAACAAAATTAAAAGTTTCCCAAAATCGCTACAGTCCTATTGTATATATACAAAGTGGATAGTATTTATGACCTCCTCAGATGTCTGAGTTACTTTTATGCTGATAAACCATGTACGATATGGTTTCTGTGTTGGTTACTTTATGTATTTGTCATTATTATCAGCTGTCACGTGTAGATGGTGTTGTATTGTGGAGGGAAGAACTAATGAAAACCATCTTTATGTATCGGAAAGTCTCTGTCCAAAAGCCTTATATTAGGGAAGCGCCACTGTAGCCAAATTGCTAATTTCAAATAAAGTGCTGAAATTAAAGAATAAGATCCAGATGAAGCCGAAGTAAAAATCCTCGCTTGCAAAAGCTTCTTAAATTACGCAATTAATCCATTAGCTCACAGTAACTTTGTTAGGTTACATTTACCAAATTATATTCGTGAATAGTTACATTTCTCATTGGATTTGAAAATACACTTTTGGGATTTCACCTGGATCGAATCTGCTCCTCTCGATGACCAAGATTCCAAAAAAACACCATGTAAAATGCAGCATTTTATTTATGTACAAAAATATCATACAATTTTATGACTTACATAACTTACTCAACAAATATATACAAATTTTGATTGGGCTATACTAAATGTAGAAAGGTATTCACTATTTCGAAAGAAAAAATCGGAGTTGGTTTAAAAGAAATCATACCTGAGAAACCTGAACATTCATTGCGAGTGAAAGTTTACACAAAACTAGCACTTCAAAACGGAAAGGATTATTCAAGATGTGTACCCCAAGGAGTAGAACTTGGACTAGTGAAGACATTTTATACGGTTGACAACTATTCAGGGAGACAAGTAATCCACCTGAATGGATAATTCTTTCAGATAGCAAACTGTCCGACACCCGTTTGCCATTTTGGAAGCCTCGTTCAGCATTCCGGAATTGAAGTGCCAAAAGGAAATTCAAGTATTTCACTTGATGATACACATACTGTGTCAGAACTATTTTCAGGGTTATGTGGCCATGGTATGCAGGTTTCTATGCCTGACGTTTCGTCCACTACTGCGGTAGACAATATCAAAGACGATGAGGTAACGGTAGAAGTGCTCAAGTTGTTCCTAAGACAAAAACTACAATGCCTAGGATTTGCCTTTGGTTTTATATTACTATAGGTGGGCGTGGCTCGGTTTCTCTTATGTACAATTAAAGACAGGTAACCAGATTTTATTAATGTTCATTGCCTCCTCTTTTCCATCGAAATTATCCCTGGGTTTCTGAATTTCTAATATTCTGGGACAGTAATTTCGAGTTTTATCGAGTAATACTGTATCTTCAAATGAGATACTGTCAGTGGCTTCTTTTTTGAAAGCATGTTCAGCTACAGCTGACCAGATTCAAATATCAGCATTCGTAGTTTCCGTGTTGGGAACAACTTGAGAACTTCGACCGTTACCTTATGGCCTTTGATAATGCCTACCGCAGTAGTAGACGAAACGTCTGGCATAAAAACCTGCAGACCACGGTCCAAAAACCCGCTGCCACACAGCGGTCGCGAAAGTACATTATTTGATCAAATGGACCATAGTTTGTTCTAAAATGAATAATTTTCAATTCAGAGAATCCTAAGGAAGTACCTCATAGGCGGGTATTACTACTTTTTACTCTGTTTTGGAAACTTGAAATTTTTATTATTTTTTTTCAATAATTATTGGATAATAATTAGAAAAAATTATTTTGCAGAAGCTTTCAAATCGTTTATTGAAAATCAGTTGAAATTGAAAAAAATATTTGAAAGGTTTGACTTATGAAAAATGAAAAAAAAAACAAGAACCTATTCCAAATTGTAAAAAAAACAGTATATTTATATAGAAAAAAAAACGCTTCGTAGCAAAGAAATTTTCACTTGGAAAAAATACTAATGGATCTTGACATTAAAAAAAGAAACAAATTTAAATTCAGTCTGTTCATAGAGATACATTTTTCAGGCAGGTTTCTCCAGTCGATTCAGTTCTGTCCTAAAAACTTTCCCAAATCACGATCTATACGAATTCCGGCTTATAAATCATTCATAAATCAACAACATCGATCTACATCATACACTTTTTCAATAAAAATTATTAGACTTCAATTCACGGTACGAAATTTTTCAATACAAAAAAAAAACTGAAACCCTTTCTTCTGTAAAACATCTAAAAGCGATTGTCTGCCAAAGCGAATGGTTGGATCTCCCACAAAAAAAAAACATAACGATAATGTATTGGTGTCTGTATTCGTGGCATTTTGTAGAATAATCTTTCTGCGTTATTCGGACACAACTTTTTTAGCTGATCTCACTACTGCTACGTCGGAAACAGTAAGGCATAAGTTTGGTTACCTTAGAGTTATCAAGCAATTTTAATTTTTTGTAAATAGCTCAAAAATGGCCATTCATAAAATTTTCATTGTCCTCCCAAATAAGTCTTACAATAGGGGATCACCTGAAAAAGCAATTCATACAGTCCACTTTCTCCCAAAAAGTCGCAAACTCTTTATTCATTTGTAGCATCAACAAAGAATCTGATGCCAACTCTTCTACCTACCCAGAACTGTTGAATATTTGTGTTTTGTTCTTTCGTTGATAGTGTCACAAAATTTCATAAAAGACAAACATTTCATCTCCTCTGAGAGGATTGTGTTTCTTCAAACGAAATTCTACACCTCATCTTCTTTGGCCAATGTATCTCCTGGCATATCTCAATAAATAACCTGTTTGATACCCCAAAAACGCGTAGGGAGCTTCTTTCCACAAAACCTGATGTAATTATTCAATATCATCAAATAAAGTTTGAAGAATCCCAACTTTTCCGAAAACCAAAGAGTTATTGATGATTAAACAGTTCAACTGCCAATAAGAGTTATAAAAATGATGTGCCGCCCTTCAGAGCTTTCGTATTGTTGTTTTTTCTTGTTAAATCGCTATTGAAAAACTACCTTCATTGGGAGGTCCACTAGATAAAAAAATATGAAAACCTAATGCTGTCAAAACATAACGAGGTGAAATATTTTGTTTCAATGAATACATAAATCGGTTATTCCTGCTACCGCATAATGACAACAGACTTCTTGAAGCTTTTGATTATTTCAACTTTTCATTTTTATTTTGTGCCACTTTTGTATTGGAAAGCAAATACTCATCAGATTCACTAATTCAAAATATGGTAAGTACAAAAAACCGTCAGCACAACGAAAAATTTGTGTGTCACCTCCAACGACAACCTACGAAAGCTAAGCTAAAACAGTTATTGCTGGAACTTAAACTTTTTCTGTTGTCAGACTTCAGGCACTAACGGTCAAACATTATGCAAGCATAAAAAGACCTTTCTTTCGATGGCCCTCCATGATAGATGAAAAATTGGTTTCAGGTGTGAACGAACCGAGTTTCCACACAAACATATCGAGAGTCGCCCACGGATCAGTTTCAGGGCCATATTTAAAGCCCATGTGTAGCAGATGTAAAGCAGTGGATTTGAAGGCATTCCAACAAGGCAAATATTTGCAATATTTGACAGCTGATGACAAGGGAAGATAAGAAAACAATGCAAGACATCAGAAAAACCAAGATATTTTGAACCCAAAACATATAAGGACTAGATTCCTTATCTATTTGTGGTCGATAGTATATAGGAAAAATTTTCAGAACTGTCAGGCAGTGATATAATAAATGTATTCTAATGAATAGTGCCAGTACAATTAAAATGCAATTAAAGGGTTAAATAAGCCCAGTAAGTGAAAGAAATATAAGAACAGCCTAATTGTCCAGTGTATTACAGGGTTAACCCTGCCATTTATAATTCAATATATTGAAATTTCTAACTACATAAGTGAGGAGCAATACAGTAATTGTGAAATAAGTATTAAGGTGTTATATTGCAGGTCAATTCATTCGAATATCTCCAAAAAATGTAAAAAATGGTGTCAGAAGTGGGATACATTTTTATGAATTTATGAGTAAGTCTAGAAACAGCAGCAATGTAAGACTGAATATTGGGGAACTCAATGAATGTCAATGGTCTATTTGCTTTTTAAAGGCAGTTCTCAATATTCAACTCAATGTAGACATTCCAACTGATGCATACTCTCTTGACAGCATCAAAACTAAGGATTCAGAATGGACAACATTCAAATTCTTTTCACAGGAAATACTGTCCACATATGTTGATACTCCAACACAGCTGTGAAGAAAACGTTGGTAAAAATACAAAAATTAAATCAATGATTAACACAGTTTTGTTAAAAAAGGTGGGGAGGAATAACTCACTGTACAAACACTAATAATTTTCGACAAAGTATACGATAGATACGTAGATATGGACATCTTGATTGGTTTCATTTTTCTGATAGTTCCTGAACGACAAAAGATAGAAAATTCCCTGCCATTTCAATGGTATGAAACGCTTTTCATAGGATAATTTCACTGACTCTTGGACAGTTTCCTGTTAGTAATTATTTCAACCAAAGCACTGACCACTATTTGACAGTAACTTTCGATAAAGCACTCAAAATTTATATAAAGTTGCCTGAAGCTATTCTGATATCTCTAACAAGGCTTATCTTTGGTTAAGAATGATTTCCTGTCTCGAACCCAAGAGAGATATACTGAAGAAGACTGATGATAATAAGCAGTGCAAAATTAAAGATTCGAGAAATGACTAACAGATGATATCAAAGAATTTTCAATAGGAATCCTTACAAACGACCATTAGCACCCCTAGGAACAGTCTAAAACCCACTTCCTTTACTCATTCATAAAACAAGTCAACTTTTGTATCAGCGCACCGCAGGGATCAATTCCAGACCCTCTTATATTCAAAGTTCACACTTGCATGAACCGAATCAAGATGATGAACGAATTAGGTTCGAAATGCCTTTGTGGAAACTCGGTAGTTCTAAAACGTATGAAACAAAACCCCCAGTGATATAATATATATACATATATAAAATCAACGTAAACATAAAATTTACATCAGCGAAAAATTGAACCCTGAGTTTTCAATTTTGAACAACAAAAACATAAATCACCCTACAACTGATAAATACTTATTAAATAAAGAAGACTAAATGCATCAACAAGGGTAAAAACCAATCCTTGACGGTGTCAATGTTTGCCTCAAGGTTCCGATCATCCGCGAAGATTGGTTTAGACGACATTTGTTAAAGTCGCGCGCTGAAAATACGGTGAAATTTGATTTCATAACCTAAAAAATTATACAAAACTGTAGTTTTATTCTACTTTTTTGCTGGTCGTCTTCACTATGGACTGCGTTACGAAACCTTTTGTGCTTCCGTTGGAGTAGCACGCCTCATACGAATCAGAGTACTCGCTCTTGATGTAGGTGTTGTTGAGGGTTCCGTTGCTGTTCGATTTCTTGATCCCGTTTGGTAATTTGTCATCAAGTAGTTGCTGAAATAGAAGAATATTATCTTTATGTGAGAACTGCAAAACTATTATCGTCTGAAATTTTACACTTTTGTGATGCACTGTTTCGATCACCAAGTGATCATCTTCAAGAGGAAGATTAATCTCTCTCTTTTATAGATTAGATACATGTTTATTGGTTCGAGAATGTCCACGGAAATTTTCATTATTTAGGAGTCCAGGAAGTGAACAACTGAGCAACTGGACACAACACCCCGTCACTGGTAACTGGCATGGGAATCTGGTAATCATACTGGGCTAATCTGGACCCAACATCTAGAAAAATTGGAAAGAATGCCAGTGATGTTGGACAGATATATTTACAGAAAGACCAAAATCAGACATTAAGTATTGTCCCTACACTAGTCTTTCTCAAAGGGGGCAATAACGCCCCCTTGTGGGCGGTGGAGGCCTATAGGAGGGCATTAAAGGGCACATAGAAGATCGAGGGGTGTTGAAGCGGTTTTGGGGGGCGATGGCTAATATAAAAACGTTTTTTTGCTTTTAACACAAACTTTACCGATCCTTTACGCTTAACGCGCGTTTCCTCGATTATCGCCATCTAGGGGACTAGATAGTAACCATGTCCTGTTCGATAGTTGTCAAACTGTACAATAGATGGCGATAAGCTACAATGCGAAGCGAGAAGATTCTAGTCTCCTTTCTCGAAAGTACTAGGCCCGCCCGATTTCAACTGATTGCTATTTCCCACAGAAGTGCGTTGCTGTTCTTGAAAACTGGTTATGATTTGTAGATCTTCAACGTACGAAGATACTGCCCAGGATTGAAACATTCATCAATATTGTGATAGATGAGATTCAAAGTGTGAAAACACAAGATGCTGTCCTGGCTTTTCAAGCTTCCGCAGTGTCGGACTTCAAGGAGTTATAGTCATTAGCATTCATTGTCAAGATTTCACCATCAAGATAGGAACATTACTTACCATGCAAGCTAAATTGGATATTTTCACAGCCTTCTTGTTGCTAGTGTATTTGACTTTATAAAAGTCGGAGAATAAAAACAAAAACATGATGCCGTGAAGGGCGATCCAGACCATGAAGCCTTTGGGGTAGTTGCATTCCGTGAAGAGGAGCTGGAACTGATGGATGAAGATGGCGACGAACTGAACCTATAAGAAAATTCAAAATATTGGAAAGGTTGAAGCAAGTTTAGTTGAGTTAAATTAATAATATCTAAGTTTTTGCAAATACAACTTCCTGTATATGGGATGTCTCATGATTGTTTTATAAAGTAACTATATCGTTAGGAAGTCCGAAAGGTTCATCACCAGAAGATGACAAATGGGACTTCGCCGAAACGTTGTGAAAATAATCCTTCTGGGGATAAAATACACAGAACACGGAGCGAAACCCGAAAAAACAGCTTATCATACTTTATCCGTGAGAATCTTCGAGTTAACATACAGTGTGACATATTTTTAATGGAAACACCCCTCTAAAATTTGAAGTTGTAAACGGATTTTAATATTTTTTTTTTGAAATGTCAAGTACTAAAAGGTCTACTTTGGGACAAAATTTGAAATGTTTATTAAAGTTTCAGGGCATACTACGATATTTTTTCTTAGTCGAAAATCGGGATTTTTTATTAGCGATTTTTTCATTGAAAAAATCACTACGCCACTGGATTCAGAGTGCCTCTAAACAGGTGTGACCAAAATTTCATGAAAAAATATTCATCATTAACAAAGTTATGACAACTCAAAAATTCGAAAACTCACACAGCTAACAGTCACAAAAAACACCCTATATCAACAGATATAGCCATGAGAATATTTTTTTTATATATTGGTCGGCGTCGTTGATGGGAAGCGTTCTGGTTGGTTGGAGGGGTACATGAGTGTTGTGATGTGTCTCGCTCATCTGGAGGCACATTGATTATTGTTCCAGGCGACGCCCGCGTTCGCTGATGGTGGTGTACTGACCTTTCGTTTTGAATATGAAGGTTTTCCGTGCAGCTGAGACCAACAAAGCACGTCAAGTTCCATGAAAGGTCAAGGTTTGGCTCAATATTTTCTTCTATTATTATGGCGTAGTACATCAGGAGTTTTTGCCACATTGTCGTTGGGTCGATAAAGAGTATCATCTTGGAATTATGCGCAACTTGCAAGAAAAAATTCAAAGAGAACGTTCGGTGTTGTGGAAAAACAATTCATGACTTTTGCATCATTCGTCATTGCTTGGTTGTAATTTTTTGGCCAAAAACAACACTGTAATCATGCCTCAGCCACCGTATTCGCCAGATTTGGCTCCATTCGACTTTTTTCCCCAAGATTGGAGAATTGGAAGAAACGCTGGCAAAAGTGTATTATATCTGAGGAGGGCTACTATGATGAATTTTTTAAACCGACAGAATACACATTAATGTTACTTGTAAGTATGAAGTTAGAATTTATATCATTATTCTGTTAAATCATGCCTTCGACAGAATCTCTCAACACGGAGAAAACAGTCAATTTACCAAGTTTCTCTGTATATCGGAATGATTGATGAAACTTACCATTTGGAAGGTGGTCAGGTATTTTTTCCACCAGATGTACTTTTGGTACTTGGGTCCCATGGCGGCTACCATGTAGTAGAAATACATGACTATGTGTACAAGGGTATTCAACAGAGCGAAGAAAGTACTGTGGCCACCTAAAAATTGAAATTCAAGAAATGTACGCAAAAAAAGAAACACATTTTCAAGATACAAGCTGAAGAAAATTACCATCACAATTGAGAAAACAATAAACTGGATTGCTAAGAAACAGTATTGGTTCACAACCTTGAAACTAGCACTAAATAAAATTGTTTTGAAGCTCTGTAGACGACAGAAAAAGCAAAAAGGATCACTGATTTTGTAAACATTTCATCATAATGGATCCAAATCCTGTTCTTGTTATTTCAAGATCAAAGAAAACACAGTGGCACAAAGTAAATGAATATTTACATGTCTGGAGAATGGCTGTTTCATTTATTCTTTTTTATACAGGGCGTTCCAAAAAATACTGGACCCCCTGTGAGTTAAGGGGAATGTTATTTCATTTTCTACTAAATTGTCATCATTTTGAACACCTCACAAAACCGAAGTCGACGGTCAGGATCATCTTCGTTTAATTCCTGAAGTAGCCTTATTCTGAAAGGATGGAATTTGTAGGCTTTCAAAATCCGATAAACACTAGTAGCTGATACACCACACATCTGATAGATTGTCGATTATCCATTTGTACATGTACTAAAACTGCAACTTCAACTCTGTCATTTCTGACAGGACGGGATATTTCATGTTTTTTGTTGTTAACAAAACCTGAAGTTCGAAACTTCATTAACTGTTTGACGCAGGGGTCTCCAAACTTTGAAGCCTTCGGGCCATAATGTTTTTTTCAGTTTGTTCCAAGGGCCAATTTCTGCCCTTAACTATATTTCTAGACTAGGATAGTCGCAAAGTGCGTGACCTAAGCAAACTTAGGTTTTTTTGCATTTCAATTATTATTGTGTATTGTGACACTTAACGACATCTAGTGGCGAGTAGTGGTACTATGTACTATCTTTTNCAATCGCAATTACGTAAAAAATGTTTCAAACATTTTGAAACATGTGAAATATTCAGCCACACTACAGAGACTGAATTTCCCGTCAATTTTCCAATCGAAACTTTGAGTGCTTTGAAGATAAATTTTGATACTCGTTTTTCAGATTTTGATGTCATTGCGAATGAAATTAAGCTTTTTCAAAATCCTTTCGATTCTGACATTGAAATCCTGGCTCCGAAAGTCCAAATGAAAATTATTGATTTACGGTGCAGTGATATGCTTAAGAACAAATATAAAAATTCTTTTTTGTTGGAACTTTGCGACTATCCTAGTCTAGAAATATAGTTAAGGGCAGAAATTGGCCCTTGGAACAAACTGAAAAAACCATTATGGGCCGAAGGCTTCAAAGTTTGGAGACCCCTGGTTTAGAGCATCTTTTGAACTGACCTCAAGCTTATTACCTCATATTATGTAGTTGAATGTCAATGTATTGAGGCAATTATTAAAAGTTCCGCCAATTTGTAGTAGTGGAAGATATTGACATTATATTCTAGGGCTGTGAAGCATTTATCAGGAGCTTTAAAAAGATGTGTCACGAGACCCCCCTTTTCAATTAATTTTTTCCCCAGGTGGTCGCCATCTTGAAAGTTTCTTCTGTCAATTTGACTTCAAAATAAAGTATTCATGCATTTACTTCATTATCCCAAATTTCAATTTGGAATAATGTACTGTATAAACAGAATGAAAATATTATCTCTGAATTGAAGTATGGAAAATTTGCAATTACCTGGTGCAAATTTCAAACCCATCCACACGGAGAACGGCATGCACCCATGATGTATAACATGGAGAGTCGACACATGGTCATTTTTCTTCCTCAGAATGAAGAAAAGCGTATCGGTGAATTCGGTGAATTTCGAAAAATAGTACCACCAACACGTACGAGCCATCTGGAAAGAAACAGAAATTAAGTTGATTCCTTCAGATACTTCTGAGGGTGACGCTTACCCTCAAAGCCATTGGGCTGTTTGAATAGTCGACCGGCTGACAACGGAAGCTGTAGCTTCCCCACCACCCGCTCATCAGATACTGAAAACAAAAAAAATATAGATAGATTTGGCAGTTGATCTTTGTTTGAATAACTAGGCTGATGAGACCTGTGCCCAAACTATTTCCTAGTTGTTCTTGTGGTCCGCAAAGCACACACTAGATGTGCAGCATCCGTGGTCTCATTTACTATTCTAACGCCTTCCGCTGATGTAGGCGAAACTACATACATATAATACGCAGACCAAGGACAACAAACCCGGAAAAAAGCTTTTACTCAGTAATCCAAAATACTTTTCCTGTGAATGTTACCAATACCAAGTGGTAAGTGGTTAGTTAAAATTTATTATATATGACATTTTTTCCAGGGCGTACTATCTAAAATCGAAGAAAAGCAGGTTAAGGAATCACTTTTCATTTTGCGCGAGAAATGGTTATGAAATCATACTGTGTGATACGTTGCTATATTCACTATGAATAAATATATTTTGAAAAAACTAAAAAACACGCTTTTAAAGAACATCGAACTAAAAATTTTTTTTTCAAATAAGTTTAAAACAATAACGATCGAAAAATATTGGTAATATTGTGAAAAAAGCCTGAACGCTAGATATACAGAAAATATGACGCAAAGCGCCCACGCTTTTTTCACAATAATACTGGTATTTTTCTATCGTTATTGTTCAAAGCTTATTAAAAATTTTTTTTTTACTTTTAAGTTCGATTTTCTTTAAAAGCGTGTTTTTAGTTTTTTTAATAGTTATTTATGTATCAAGGGAATTAGGAGGGCCTTAATTACCGATGGCAAAGTTTGCGTCCCGAGGGCCTCTGGCCCGAGGGACAGCAATTGCCTGAGGTTATTAAGGCTCATTAATTCCCGTGGTACATAGATAATTTTATTTCTGACCGATTTCAATAAAATTTTGTTCATTTTTGAAACGGAAAAATGTACCAATTCATTACCTTCCCGGTATATTTGAATCAGGTACCGTTGATTATAGTAGTTTTCTTGTTGCTAGGTTGTTGCTATGTTACTTGTTTATAAACAGAACTTTGTTATCAAGCTGTGTTTGCGGTGAAAACGTGTTTTCTACCCCAAATATAATGGAGGATATTTTGAAAAAAGCTGAACAAGCAAGAGAATCATTAATTCCATCGAAAAGTGAAGCCGTATACCAAAAAGAATACAAGATATATCTGGACTGGCTGACACGGAAAAATGTTATGCCAAAAGATGTCACTGAAACTGTATTTCTGGCATATTTTCAAGAACTGGTAAGGAATTTTCTATGTTTTTCGGTAGATTTGGTAGTAATTGTGTTTATTAGTTTCAGTCAGAAACGTATAGTCCGAATTCTTTATGGACTAAATGGTCAATGCTAAAATCGATGGTGACTATACATGAGAAACGAGATATCACCAAGTTCAATGAACTACAGGCTTTTTTGAAACGGAAGAGTAAGAGTTATAAGCCGAAAAAGTCTGCTGTTTTATCTCCTAAAGATGTAGTGAACAGAAGCTCCAGCCATACAAAAGAAGAAATTGTTTCCAGTGGCGGAAGTAATTTTCAGGGAACATTTCAAAATTGTACATTTATTATTTGTAACGACGTGAATAAATAAAATATGGTTCAGTTTTCATTTCTATTTATTTTTACTTGTGAAAGGTAGAGGGAATTATAAAATCTATAATGTCCCAAGGGAGTTATGTCCCTCTTTATTGATAGCGTAACTATGACGATATAAGCTTATAATATCCCGGTCAGAAATAAACTATATTTATTTTTTACTTTTAAGTTCATATGCTATAAAAGCGTGTTTTTTAGTTTTTTCAACTATATTTATTTTAATTTTTTTTGAACAACCTATCGAAAAGGTTACATACAGCGCCATCTGCCCGCGAATAGATCAAGCAATAATGCCGATAATTCTGTCAATACAGATCCTGAGCTTGAGAGTTACAAACAAATATACATACATACAGGTGAAGCTAATATAAAGCGTGTAAAAATGGAGTCGTATACAGGGTATACTTCAGTTCCGCCCCATATAAAAATACACAGTTGACGATGTTTTCTTAAAGACGAAACGTCGCAGAGAAATTCTGCTTACGTTATCATGTAGTCCTTGAAAAGTGACCATGACAAAGTGCTATTTTTTTACATTTCTGTCGAAAATGAAGGTAGGAGAAAACAAAAACGATATTATCAAATCTCGGTTTTTCTCGGATATCTCCGAAACTACTCGGAATATTAAAACTTTCTAAATGGCATATTATTAGGAACATAAATGCGCTACTTTTCTCTAATTCAATCGACCCCGTATCACTTACCGTTTCCCATAACCGATATACAGGGTGGGTCATCGAAAACTTTACATGGAGGTTTTAGGTACTAATCTTGCAAATCCGAAAAAACGCTCAGACAGGTAGATTTTTATTGAAAGGGGGACAGTTTTTTCCCCATTTACAGCGTCGTCACTTCAACCCCGGAGCAAAGGGGTTGATCGTTTGAAAGATCTTGGAATTCTCTAAACAATGGTGTACATTTTTTTTTTTAATTTGGACGTATTTAAAAAGAGTTCTTTCCGATAATTAACTTTATCAATATTGTTGATAGTAACAAATTGTTGTACGCCAATGCTCAGTTGGAATGTTTTTGGAACTCTTTCATTTGTTTCTTACACTACTTTTTTGTTAATTTTTTAGTTCTTCTCTGATAAGAGGACTATTACAATTGAGAAATGGTTAAAAATGCGGTTTCTATTCTGTAGCAAATAACAAAAGGCAACTCAAACCACCAGTAACAAATGAGGTGACACAAATTGCAATTCTGGGCCATGATGAGCTTGATCATACTTTGAGCACAAAAAAGTTAGCATTTGTTTCCGGGGTGTCACGAACTAGCATTCGTCGTTTTTTTAAAACCTACAAAATGCTTCCTTACAAGATTAAATTAACGCAAGAACTGAACGAGCGGTGGAAAATCCAAATTTCGTTTTCAACATTTGCTTCAGTGATGAATGTTCTTTTTTCTGAAGTTAATCAACATGATTGTCGCTATTAAGCTGATTCAAATCCTCAACATCCACAAAAATTAAATGTATGGGCTGGAATTTTTGGTGACCCTATAGTTGGCCCAATGTTTTTAGAAGGCAATTTAATCGGACAAATGTATCTGGAACTTCTGGAAGATACTATTAATCCCCTTCTCACTGATATTATTGAAAGTAACCACAATTATCGGGAGGATCTGTGAGGTTCCTCCGCACTATGCTCTGCCTGTTCGGCAGTATCAATAAAACAAATAAAAAAGAAAAATCTATATCAGACTTTTCCGGATCACTGGATTGGGAGACGGGGCACTATCGAATGGCCACCACGATCACCAGACCTTTCGCCGTTAGATTTCTTCACTCCAGATCACTCCAGAAATGCTCCAGAATGATCGAGAACGTTTCCAGCATAATCTCTATTATTGTATGGAAGCTGGAGGTGCTCATATTGAGCATATGCTAACATGAGAATAAAGTAACTTCAACTCTAAATTTAATATGGTTCGTCCAAACTAAAATCGACCTGTCTGAGCGTTTTTTACGATTTGCAAGATTAGTACCCAAAACCTCCATGTCAAGTTTTCGATGGCACACCCTGTATACATATAAACCTTGTATCTATTAAAATAACCGAATCAAAGTCTGTTGCGTAGTTTTAAAGATCTAAGCATACATAGGGACAGACAGCAGAAAGCGAATTTGTTTTATCTTAGGTATTGATTCATATTTCGCAAGACTAAAACTACAAAAATATCAACATCGGTAATTTCTGAACAGAAAAATCTTTCAATAAATTGACGGATGTAGCGGTTACCATATGGTAGAAGATCACCATGACCTGCAGCAACGTTAGTTACAAATACAAAGTGGTATAAAAACTATTCCATTGAACTGACTTACCTCATAAAATATCCAAGCACTAAAAATAGTTTGTACTAGATTGTAGATGATCAGGACATTCCTGAGATTGAAAGGTTTCCTGTTCTCCATTATTTTTGGTCCTAATACTGTCGAGAAGTACGCGTAGAACATACAAATTAGGATGGTTGGGACAGGACTTGACATCAACGCCCAATCGTTGACTCGAGGATCTGTAACAAACAAAAAAAGAGCCGATGATTTCTCATTCTAGAGAAAAATAATTCACATACTGTTTTCACAGATATGAAACTACAAGAAGTTGGGACTGCCATTGAGCAACACTGAGATATTTGAAATTATCTCGAATTGAAAAAACCTCTACTGTTTGTAAAGATATTCGTTTTCAGAAGTGGTTTTTTCTTCTCGAAAACGAAGCTTGATATGAGGAAAACACAAGCGATGGAGACGTTGTATTTTTAGTTGCTTATTCTTAAACAGGGGTCTCCAAACTTTGAAGCCTTCGGGCCATAATGGTTTTTTCAGTTTGTTCCAAGGGCCAATTTCTGCCCTTAACTATGTTTCTAGACTAGGATAGTCGCAAAGTGCGTGACCTGAACAAACTTACGCTTTTTTGCATTTCAATTATTATTGTGTATTGTGACACTTAACGACATCTAGTGGCGAGTAGTAGTACCATGTACTATCTTTTTCAGCTACCGCAGTACATTTTGGGTACTATTTTCTTGTAAATTTCGGTACTTTTTGAATTGACGTTGCGGCAGCACTGGTTCTAGCTAGTGTATTCCGTTCACCTCGAGATGACAGTAATAATTTCATATAAAAAGGCTAGCGACGCAACTGAGAGTTAGTCTGCGTGGGAAAGGCGAAGGAAGCGAAACTGTCTATTGTGAAATAAAGTAACACCCGTCAATAAAAGTATTTTGATTTGACTTATTGTTTTTATGTGTGATTTGTTAGTATGGAAAAGAAACCCTGACTCTGGAAGTCCAAATTGAAATTATTGATTTGCGGTGCAGTGATATGCTTAAGAACAAATATCAAAATTCATCTTTGTTGGAATTTCATAAGAGTCTTCCACTGGAACAATTTGATAATTTGCATAAATTTGCTCGTGGGTTGTTTTCTGTTTTTGGTACTACTTACTTGTGTGAGAAAACGTTTTCCAAGATGAAGTATACAAAGAATGTTTACAGATCTCAATTAACCGATGAGCATCTTAAATCTCTTTTGATAATTGGTACAAGTAAAATTGATCCACAACTACAAAGTATTGTCGGTGGAAAATCAAAATTATATAAATCTCATTAGTGTTTTTGTTTTACTGTGATTCATTTCAATAATTTGTTAGTTATTAATATGCTTAAACTTAGATACCTAAGTTAAGTTTTCTTTGTCATAATTTCTGTCGTTAAGTTTTACCTTGCAAGTTAATAAAACCGAGTAATTATCATTCTGTGTTTTCTTCTTCAACTTATCACAGCAATGGTAACAACAATTAGGTAATCATTGGCTGTCGCGGGCCAGATTGATGACAGTAAATCAGTGGCTGTCGCGGGCCGGATTGGTGACATTGGCGGGCCGGATTTGGCCCGCGTGCCGTAGTTTGGAGACCCCTGTTCTAAAAAAATCATACTCAACAAAAAAAGTCAGTGGCGTTCTTTTTTCTCAATATTGTTGGCTGTGGTGCCCACTGAGACGCCACTGGAACTAATAATTTCAATCTAGTTCGGGCTAAATAAGCGCCTTATTACTTCAAGTAACTGTAGCAAATTTCAACCAAATCGGTCTAAGGATATTCATGATATTTTATAAATACCGGTTTTTTAAAATTCAACATATGTTCATAGAAACTTTTTTCTTAAAATGACCTAACAAATCACCCTCTGAAGTTTCGTACCTTAGCTAGGAAACACCCTGTATGGTTAACGAGCGCCTCAGTTTGGTTCGCCTTCCTCGAAAATCATAATTGAGGTGTCATTCGATTTGTAATTTCAATTCAATTTTTTTTTAGTCTTTAATCACAGGTAATAACAATCGATACGTTTGCATACAATTACAGTAACAAATTAATGATGCTAGGAACGTTGGACTCTGTTAAAATGATCTAAATTATAAACAAAATTATACAGTCAATAATAATAATAACTTCGACGGAAATCAGGCTGATAAGTAGGTGCTCAAGGTTGTTCAAATCGAACGTATCAAATTCGCCTAACAACTTGCCCATTTAGATACATTTTCTCCAGTCACTAACTTATCTCATTTAGTACATACGAAAAAAAAGTGTATTTCTACAGTAAATACCACTAATATGCACATTTTACATTTTCAATATGGTTCATTATGAGTTAATACGTATAACTGATTACATAATTCACGTTCAGATTTCAAATTGACATATTTATTTTTGTAATATGGCTCTTTAGCTATGTATAATCTCATCCAGTTGATAAATTACATATGAAAATTACATTTCATACTGAAAAGCTACAGCAAATATAATGTAAAACTGGAAAGTTACATACCTATTACCAATACATTGATCTGTAATAGTTTCACATAATGTCATGCAACATTAATGTATGATTTCCCAAGATTCCAAACATTTACAAATCGATATGTAAGTTTATAGTACTTTACTGTACTTTAATGGGGAAAAAACTGTTCCCCTCCTTATAAAAATCGACTTGTCTGAGAGTTTTTTCGGATTTGCAAGATTAGTACCAAAAACCTCCATGCCAAGTTTTCGATGGCACACCCTGTATATTCAAATCAAATCAAATTATTCAAATCAGAGAAAGAGGGTTTTCATAAAATTTTGAACGTTTCAAGCGATGAAATTTAAGAGGCAACGATAAATAGCAGGTTGACCGGTATTTCTTTCGTTCAATTTTTCATAATTCCATCGCTTATTATCATGAGGAAACTATCTTTCATTTAAAAAAATTGAATTAAAATCAAGTTACTACAAATAGATAGGCGAGTACCCTGTACAATTTATTATAATTTTACCAACTAGCATTTTGCTCATATGCCTAGTGAAAACAGAAAGTATCAACAACAATTATTTATCGGTCATTCTTAGATAACGTCAAATTTCGAAGTTCCAGAATACACAATATCTGAAAAATTAATTTACCTATATGGCCAATTATTAGGTATAATTGCTTGAAAAAACTTACTGTCAGTCATTAACAACACTATGTTATCGGAAAATACGCAAATAACTAAAAAAAAAATACTGGAATACATTATCAGGCCGTTAACATTCTCAATGAGTTTTTTGGAGGTCAAACTATTGAATTATTAGTTTTATTTTTCTCCAGCTTGCTCTCGGTTTTCTCTACAGTGCTATAGAATACTGAGGCCATTTTCGAAAATAGCCATTTCTTCATCACTGTGTAGTCGAAGTAAACGATATTGTGCACTCTTAAAGTTGACGGCACTCTCAAAGGCCAAAAAACCAATACATAGAAATGAACCGGAAGCGAACAAGTCCACGTAGACTGTTGACTTGATTTTTACTAACCAAGTTTTATGATTGGCCGAAGATTGGACAGTTACATGGTTACAAATAAAAGCGCAACTATATGCAGTCTTCAACAGAAGTCAGTCGCACATCTGTGGTTTTCGTAAGAAGATCTAGTATTCACAAAAGGCAACTATAGCTACCTTCGTGGAATTTTCAATTCGGAAATGGTAACAATAGAAATGCTCTGATATATAAATCCAAGAGAAAGATTCATCGGCCATGCTTTGCTTTTATTTCAGTGCTATGCTTGATAAAGCTTTCCCTTTGATATATAACACTCAACTTTCAAATTAACATGTCCATTGTGAAATGACAATGAAATATGTGAAAATACATTGTAAAAATACCGTGAAAATGGAAATATACAATGTGAAAACACATTATTAATAAGGTAAACCTATCACAGAATTTTGAGTTACTTTTGAGGAAATTTACTTGAAATATTTAAAATTACATTACATATGCAGAATTCTTCCAATTCATATTTTACTGTTTCATTAGTATTTGTGGAAAACACATAAATTCTCGTGTTATTCTCCATTATATCAACGATATTTGTTCTACATAATTTATAATGGACTGTCTTCCTTACAACCACTGCTGAATTTTCACATGACATTACGTTGGTTATTTGTGGCCAACGTAATGTTATGTGAATTTACAAACAATTTTTCAACAGTGTGGACTGATGGTTCGAGAATGTGTACGCCTGACATGCCTGCAAACAAAGGATCGCGACTAATCATTGTGCATTGCAAAACAAACGTCATCTTATTGGAGAGTAACTGGTGAACCTCGTCCTCGTCCATATCGTGTTAAAAAAAAGTCCATTTTCATGTTTCGAAACCCCCCTCGAAAGTGACAAAGATAAAAAACTTCCAAAATGCAAAGTTTTCTTGGTTGTTACCCCTTTCAACGTCCAATATTCATAGAATCTAAGATTTCTGTTGTTCTTCATTTTAGCAAAACTAAGCGAACCGTTCGCCTGACAGATGTGAGATATGAAGAAAAAAATTGAATAATTATCCGCCATTGTTTCATAATGTGTGCATACTTGCAATAAAATAAGATTCGTGTCGTTCGAAGGTCAAGGCAGTACAATTTCGTGTATTCAGCATGTTTGCCGCAGGCAATTTTGACAGAAGCACGAAGTCGTATACAATGTCTTCGAATGGTTATGGAATAAATTGAACCATTGATTCGTAGACGTAAAAAAAAATAAACAACGACACCAAGCTACAATCGATTAGGGGTCTTCGACATGGGATAAAAAGTCATGGGCCTAAAAAAGAAAACGTGTTTTTTTTTGTTCAAAATTGGCTTTTTCATCAACGTAATTTCCATTAAGAGCCACAAAATTTTTCCAGCGCCGCTCTAACTTTTCAATGTTCAATTCATTCGAGTAAAATTCACAGGTGAGCATTTTTTGAGATCTGCGAAAAGCCAGCAATCGCTGGGAGCCAAATCTGGCGAATACGGAGGATGTGATAGAAGTTCGAAGTTCAATCCAAGTAGTTTTGCCGTTGCTTTTACCAGTTGCTCTCCACCCAGATGACATACGTTTTGATTCCAGAGCGAAGTGATGGATCCATATTTCATCCATTGTCACATATCGATGCATAAATTCCTGTTTATAATGTTTAAACATGGCCAAACACTGTTCAGAATCATCAAGAC